ATTCTCAGCAGGTACCGCGAAGTCTTCGGGTTGCGTGGTGCAAAACAAGATCGCTATAATAAGCAACAAAGACAGTCTATGAGAAAAATTGCAACCTGTTATATGCAATAACATTAGCATGCTTGAAATATTTCATTATAATAATTATAATAATAGTTCTAATAATTAGGTAAGAGTTGCACAAAAGTAATTAACCTGCAGAATGGAACTTAGTGTTATTTCACGAAATCGCGTTTCAAAATGTATGCTATCTGTTTTGACTTCATCTGTTATCTGTTTTAACTTGCAATTCCTACCCGTAATGCGCATGAGCATGTGTCGGGTGTTTCCATTGGGGCATAACACCAGTGCACCGATCTGATGGGGGCAACCGGTGTGCTTTTGGCTGTACGCCGGGACAGCGGCGGTGCATTTTGCATTCCCTTTGCGAATGAAGAAATCGCGCCGCACTCTCCCGGTGCTGTTACACAGTATTTATTGGCCCCTCACCGGATGTGGGCCGTTTCCGGTGGCCTGTTCGTCGTCCGCGTGCCTTTCATTCTGTTCTACGTAAGCACTACAAAAAACAAAGTAACCAAAATGCTCAAAGTTGAATAAATGGGTGCGACCCCTGAATCGTGGAATCTGTGTCTTGCAGCACCCTGCTCAATGTATTTTGTTTTGGTTTTCCTTCCAAGCGCGTTTAATTCACGGTACCTTGACATATTGCCGTGAACGTAATAACAGATAGCGACGAATCGACGTCTTGCTTGCCCTCAGACCAGGACGCAAAAGCCCTCTTCTTTTTTCACTTCCAAGGGATTTCACCTACAGTTGATGGCTCATACCCATTACCTGTGACAATATTGTAAGTTTGCCGTGTGACGCGCTTGCGTCATATGCACAGGGTTGACACACTGCCATCTTTTTGAAAGGCTTTTTTTTTTGTCATTGGGGTGCAGTGTATCACAAACTATCTTGTTCGCAAATTTTTTTCTCAGTAGCTCCTAGAAAAAGATCTTCAGGTTTACCGATTTCAGATAAGGACATCGTTTGACGATTAGGGTGAGCGCGTCTAATGACCACATAATATAACGGAAAAGAACGAAAGGAAATGAAGGAGACAGTTGAGTTTCAAGCCTTAATTAAACAGTATCCCATCGAAATGGTGATGTTAAATAGACTGAACTCGATGTGTTATCTGCTTTGAGTATATAGTCGTCAATCAGGATTAATATAACGAACTGCGTGGACTCATTTCGTTTTTGCACGTCCCTTCCTTGTGCGAGTGCATTGTTCGGGAAGCCGCAATCCCGAACATTTTTGCTTCTGCCTGGGCTACTTTTTTTCTCACATATTTAAAGTGATAGTCGAACTTTGGACGTTTTCGAAAGAGACATAAGCTGCAATGCTAAACAATTTTATATGAGTACAATACTTATTAGCATATGTAGCTATATTTATTTCAAGTCTGTCTCAGCCTAGCTCGGTGTATTCGAACGATGCTATAGCGTCCCTAGAATGCTAGATACACTTGCTTATTAGGAAATACAATTTTGTGGCTGCCAGGGGCTGCAGTGTGTGATCGATGGGGGCAAAACGTAGAGATGTTTGTGCACTTGGCCTTAATTGCATCGCAAAGAAACCCAGGTGGTCGAAATCAATCCATACTCTCCGACTGCTGTGTGGCTCACGATGGGATCGTTGTTATGGTGTGCAGAGCCCGGAAATTTTGGTATTAGCTTCCCCCCAAAACAAGGGCGTGAAATGTGGCTGATGTTCTGTTCAGCCCGCAAGAGCAATCTCATAATTTGTTGCATTAGCTTCAGGAACACTCGTATTTTGCCAAACCGGTATTTTGTCACGCATTGACCTTCAGAGGAATTTTCGACTACCAATTTGCCGCTCTAGTGTACTTCCCGGCCATCTGCACCGGATGCAAGCACCATCCTGCGTCTATCCTCTACCATAACCAAAATCTCTAGCTCGCCTGCGCATCCATATGTGCCACAATTATATGTGATCCCATACTCCTCTCGGTAACGTGCGTAAATCAATGAGACTGTTGCATGTCCGCCGTCGCATCAGGAAATACGGCGTGAAGAACGCGGTGAAAGGGATGCGCGATGCTAAAAGAGGAAATTGGGGACACGGCCTTCCCGCGGCATTGGCGCGGTCAGCTGTTATGGCGGCGACCCGTCTTCCTCCGCTGCTCCCGAATGTTGGCACCGTGGCGCCATCTCTCTGCGGAAAAAGGAAACTCAGGTGGCATTCTCTCTCGCGGAGCACTGTGCAGCTGCTTCGGTGAAGATCGCTGTAGCGCGGGCGACGATCGATGACGCCAGACAGTCGCCAGGATGAGTGACCTTGGGGAGAGCGAAAGGGAAGAGAACGGAAGGAAGGGAAGAGGACCTGGAGCGCGCGTCTTTCCCCAGCCACCCATGTATCCCCTCCGCCTATGGGCTAATCCCGGTGGTCGCTGCAACGACCGCCGGCGGCGCGCTTACGCAATGCGCCGAGGTTATCCGGCACGGAGGTGCCTACCGCTGGTCTCTTGCCACGTTACTGGGAACAGTACTTCCTCTAGCCCTTTAATTTTTCTCACGGGTACTTGAAAGTACGGGCACCAAAGAATGGAAACCGACATTACGAGACACCTTTTGAACGCAACAGTGTTGAATATTCGTTTTTGCGAAAATGGTGGTGTCGTCGTCGTTAGCTGTGAGTAAAAAAAGATTAGATACATGCAAATGAATAATATAAATCTTTGGTTCGAATGCGAATTGAACGCAGAACACCTGCCAGTCAAGCTGGTGTTCTACCACACTGCCATAGTTGTGCTCCAAGGTGCCTCGGCAAAAAGCAATACAAACGTCATGTAGTCTGAGCAATCTCCTTAACATATGTAATATTATGTTGAATAACTACACAATAGCACCAGCCGTCAAACATGTGAATTGCTCAGGCAGTAGTTGGTCCAACTATTACAAAGCACACAAGCCTAAAGAATTATCATTATCCACAGCTGGATAAGCAAAACATGAAGCAGTGCAGATACACGTATTGTTCGATAGGTGCTTAGCGGGTACTTTGCCAATTCACAAAAGGGATAACTATGGCATCACTGCACTTCGAAGCTGTTCTTTCATTCTAAGATAGCTTGAAATGGCCTGTGCTACTAGCATAGATGTTTCTTTTCTCGCAGCATGACGTCCACTCAGAAGCAGCAAATAAGAGGGGATGCAAACAAGGCACAATCGCGCTGTTCACTTCAATTCTTGAAAGCTAAACTCAAACATCCTGCTAGTTTGTTATTGATTACTTGAAATGTGCCATGCTCGTTCGGATTTCTTTGCGGTGATACACCACCTTGCATTAATGGATCTCGTAATGTATTGCTCTCTTAGTGTGGCGTGATTCAAGTTATGTCCGTACACACAAAACACATTACACCGGAGTGAGAGCTTGGGCTACTTGGTGTGTATGCAAAGTTATGGAACATGTGATTTATAGCAGCATCATGTCTCACCTCGTTGCAAATAACCTTCTTCATCCTAGTCAGCATGGGTTCCGACAGGGCTTTTCTTGTACGACGCAATTTGTAGAATTTACTCATGACCTTGCCTCAGCTGTCGACAAGCAGCAAAGTGTTGACTGTATATTTTTGGATTTCAGGAAAGCTTTTGACGTCGTTAAGCATGGTCTCTTGATTGCTAAACTTCGGTATGACAAATTAGATGATAGGGCAAGCTGAGTATCTTCGCTGAAGGCAGATGTTTGTGGCTCTGAACGGTTGTTCCTCTACATATGTTGCTGTGACCTCTGGTGTACCACATGGATCAGTTTTAGGTCGGCTTTTATTTTTGTTCATAAATGACATCACTTTCGGTATCACATCATCATTTAGAATGTTTGCAGATGACTGTATAGTATATAGGGTCATCAATAGCGACCTTGACAAAAAAGCACTGCAAAGTGATTTAGATTTAATTGCCGCATGTTGTGAAAAATACAAAATGTCATTGAATGTGAAAAAAGCGTCCACGTCACCTTTACCAGAAAACTCACACTGCAGAAATCATTACGCGATTAATAACGTTAATCTTCAACATGTCATGGAATATAAATATCTAGGCGTATTTTTCACTGCTGATTTGAGGTGGAATAAACATGTCACTTACGTTAGAAACAAAGCGGTAGGAACATTAAGTTTTCTGAAACGTAACTTCAGTGGTTTACACAAAAACTTAGAGAGCAGCTCTATTTTACACATGTCCGCAGTATACTGGAGTATGCGTGCGTCTGCTGGAACCCATATACTAAGGAACTTACAGATAAACTTGAAAAAGTGCAGAATAGAGCAATTCGATTCGTCCTCGGAAATTACGACAGGATGCCTAGTGTGACAGAGAGCAGAATAAAATTAAATTGGGATCTACTTGAAAACTGTCGTCCAAACCTCAAATTATAAAATTCTTTCATAGCATTTATCATTCGAGAACAGGGATCATCAGGCAATTGTATTTTGAACCACCCAACCATGTTTCTCAAAGACGCAATCATCACTTAAAAATATGCGAGATTCCTTTTGGGGTTGATGCTTTTCGCTACTCTTTCTTTGTCCGCACTACAAGAGAATGAAACACTCTGCCACCGGAAATAGTGTCTATTGATTCAAGTGATGATTTTTTCCATGCTTTATGAATGTTTTTATGTGCTAGAGCATATATACTGTACCCTCCCTGCTGTAATGCCTTATGGCGAAGCAGGTACTTAATAAATAAATAAATAAAATATATATTGGCAAGTTTTTTTCATCGTTGGAGCATAAAAAAAAAAAGGAAAGAGTAGACTGACAGAGCTTCTTTCTGTCTACTCTGTCGTTTTTTTTCTATGTTCATGCGCTGAAAAAGACTTGCCAGCATTGAACAATTTCATGAACTCTAGCTCCAACTAAATTGGTGTAATACATTTAGTATGACAGATTCACTCATTGTGCTCTTGTTCTTGGCGAATCGCAGGTCCGCAAGATAGCCAGTCGTGTGTGCCAAAGTGAGACCCAGATCAAACGCATCTCAGAGGGACGATACTGCATCGGAGGTCGCATCTACTTTGTCAGGGTGAGTACACTTTATGTTTAACAGGCAACATGGTTCAACACGCGCATAATGTTTAGGTGCCAGGACAATGTGAGTCGTGGCGAAACTGGATGATGTATAAGCAAACTTTCACTGTACTTGATGATAAACCTCTGGGGGTCTATAATTATCTGGAGTCTCCCACGAAAGTGTGTCTTATAATCATATTGTCAATTTATCATGTGAAGCCCTACTGATTATTATTAATAAGATTAATTTCTTGTTTGAAGCCACGAGAGACTGGGTTGTGAGAAGGAAGAGGCACATTTTGGCAAAATGGTTTAATAATATTATAACAAGGAATTCTTTCTCAACCAGTGGTTTCACTTTGTCCTAAAGGGGACATAACAGCCAATTCTTAATCGTAATGTCTATTACGTGAATTAATCCTTGTGCGTTCACAAACAAGCAGGTGAACAATTTGCTGCGACTGAAACTTCGTTAGAAGACGATGGCCCCGCTACTTTCAGTTCATGATGTCACATGCGCCATGACAAAATGGTGGTCATCGGCGGTGGGCGGAGTTTACTGCCGGCGAATTATATGACTTGTCTTGCACTGTATTATTGTATTAAAGCACACTTTTTATATTTTTGTAGGCATAATAGACAATCTACTTCTAGTGTCTGCTGAAAATCACTAACGGCTGGGCGACCATGTCATGACCCCTTTTACAAAACCTTCAGGGGCCTCGATTGAGGAGCAATCAAGCTATTGAGTAGTTCATGGCAGTTTCTCTGATTACCCACGTTGCACTTTCTGAACATGAAAGTGGTGTTTCTTTATGTAATACAAAGACGTTACCTGCAATGAATAACACAGTGAAAGGCTTGTTTTTTGTGCATTATTATTTTACCATGATGCAGAAGATACAGTAAAACATTGTTATAGTGAGTTTCAGATTAATGATTTTTCAGATTAATAACTTTTTTAAAAATTTCACTCTAAATGTCCACCAGTATAATGGAAAAATATATGACTACTATTAATTTCAGAGTGCTGAGTGTTTCAGAAACAAAATAATGTATCAAATTTCATCCTCTGGAGATCTCCACAACACTGCAAAATAAGGAAAAGCCATTTTTAAAAGTTCGCAGCTTAGAAATAATCTCCGAATTCATATTTGCCATTGTCATCATCATCAGAGCACTCTGAATTTCTCCATTTGCTTGTTCTATTCAAATAAATGATAGCTCTATTGCCATCGGCATTGCCCTGTTGCCATTGTTTGTGTCGGGCAGCTTTACCTGCGCGCTTGTTACACATTTTTTTTAAGCATTTGGTTGGTGCTTGGTCATTCAAAATGAGCTCCGGAAGCAGCACGAGAGGAATGCTACGACAGTGAAAAATGCGATGCGAGTGACTTATGAGATGGAGTCGCCAAACATTATCCGTGCGAACTTCACTAAGGCTCGAACACTATGCACAGTGGGACGACGAAGCAGGCCCCTGGGCGTAGCTGATGACCGATATGACCATACTATTTTTCGTGATAAGGAAATGGTGATGAGTGCAAACAGGGCGTTACAATGGCGCACGCGCTTAAGAAGGATGCGCACACTTAGGAGTTCAAATTTCAGCCGTTGAGCTGCAAGTTGCCCACATAACATATGATCATGCTCTTCCTCGTATATACATTTGCTAGTTACGTAATACAGTCGAACCCCGCTAGAATGAAACTGAAGGGGTGCGGAACAATTTTTGTTGAAGCGAAAATTTCGTTGTAGTGAAATCGAAAAAATATAGCCAATCTGAACTAGCAAAACAAAGGAACGTTTATTCTCCATATTAAAAAAGTGCCCGCTGCTTTTTATTCTATCCCAGCAACGTTACGACGCGATTCTCACCCATGCATAGCGAGACCATGGTAAAAAGCATGCTGAAACAATGATTAAACCGCTTTCGTGAACGAACCAAACAGTTGCACTAACCTGTTACCATGAGCAGCTGTCCGCCGTCAAAACATCAAAATGGCAGCAGGGTATCGTTGAGCGGTGACTATTGTCTTATTTTATCAGCTGATTTCACTGATAATGCGAACAAACAGCCGCTCTGATTAGTTACCCTACTGGCCAAGCGCGAACAAAGTGATAAGTACAGGAATCAGATAAGGCATCAGGCATCGTTCGGCATGCACCCAGCAGCGGCGGGAAGAAAACCATGAAATAAGCAACTGAGCTTCAGCTTTGGATCGTCTGCGGCTATACAGTAAACCCAACCTTTAACATTTTGATGCATTTTCAGAACACGAAAATACGTCGACGAAGTCTAATGTACGCATCGGCACCACCAGAAACCACCGCTGTTTAGCAAGCGTGGATGCCGCCATCGCTATCGAGCAATGGCGACACTGATGCTTGCTGAATAGTGGTGCTTTCTGGTGGTGCCAACGCGTGTTTTAGACTTTGTCGACGTATTTTCATGTTCTGAAAATGCATCAAAATGTTAAAGATCGGGTTTACTGTATAGCATTAAATATCTGAGCCTAGAATTGCATCGTGAAATTTCGTTGAAGCAGCACGGGAGAAGAAGAAGTGCTCGTTGTGGTGACAATATTTATACATTGGATCTTATGGACTGACGGGGAACCGTGAATTTTTCGTTGTAGTGGGAATTTCGTTGAAGCGGCGTTCCTTGTAGCGGGGTTGCAGTGTATTTCATGTTTGTTTTTTTTTTTTGCTCAATACAGCAGAACACAGTCGCAAACTTATACACAACACAGGTGGGCGAGTGATGTGTTTGGGTTTATGATTTTTACGTACGTTTTCAATACCTCCACTACAACAACTTCTCAAAATAATAAACGTTTTTAGTGTTTCTTTGAGATTCGTTTTATTGAGATTTCCCTGTACTCAACAACCATGTTGTTCATTTGGAAAGTTGGCTTTGCCACATGGTGAGTCATTGTGCAGTGAAGCCACTTTTTTGTGTAACATGGTGCAATTTTAAGCCGCCTGCCTCACTGCTGCGAGAATGCACTGACTATTGAATATTAACTGCGAAAGGATTGCTTAGTGAACTGAAGGCACTGTGAGCGTTTTGATCCACACATGCACCGTACTGTATATTTAGCTGCTTACATCGGGTGCTCTCATAATCGCCTGTTTACCTTGGGGTATACCGATATTAGTATGGGAGGGTAAGAGAAATTGAGATATACAACTCTCTGGCCACGACATGAATCACATGAAAATCCTGTCGTGTATGCCGTCAAATCCTTTCCTGCACACATGTGTAGCACATACCCAAATAACATGGGCCGCAGTACATATGTATGTGCCACATGGGATTGACAGTTTATACTTACGCTGGAACGGTGAGGACGGATGTTAATAACGTAATTGTGAGATTGTTAAGAGAAACTGACATCGGCAGCATATACCCAATGAATTCAAGGACAGAGATTCAGGATCTCAAAAGAAATTGAACCCAAGAATTTTGCATGACAATCAAGCTTTCTACCACAGAGCCATGGCAAAGCTTGAGACAGCTTCGGAAAAATATAGTAGTATGCAGGCATAAGGTTCGAGCAACTTAGCTTTTGCTTGCAGTTGTGGCTATTTAACGTTATAAGAAAGCAATAAACATTACCTAAAAAATTATACTATGCAGATCTCACACCAAGCTAACATCAACTGTGGTTCCAATGTTGGCTCCAATTTATATCAGTCTAATAAATATTGCACTGGGGTTCCTGCGACTTAGCAGCCTACTTCTAGGCGCTTCTCGACCCCTGGGTAATATATGATGACCAAAATGTGGCATTACCATTGTTTACCGTAACGCACACCTCGTTTCAATAATATCGACGTCTGTGCTTTAATGCGAGTGCTGCCATTATATCTAACCAAAGGTTGCCCAGTGTAGTAGCCAGCAGATGCCAGTGTAATAAACCTTCCTGGTAAACCCATGAGGTGCACACAACTGCTGCACTTGATAACATGGATTCACTTCAAAATGCTTTTCTCAAAGCTAAAATATGCAGCACAGACAGTTAGTAGCTTTGAGTGACACCTATTGCCATGATATGTGGGATCTGCCGAATTTTCACCTAATGGCATGAGCAATGAGAGACATTCTCTTCCTTTTCAAAGCACTTCCGCTTGCCCTTGTCCTGTTTGCCAGATATTCATCAAAATTTAAAAAAAGAACTAAATCTAGTATGAAATACACAGTCCTGGTTCAAGTTAAAAGTTTTATTACAGTGCAGATAATATTGTAGGACGAGTTTGCTTCAGATATTGGCCATGTACCTGTCAGGATAAATAATGTAGATTAACTGAATGTGTTAATTCAAGGAGTGCATAACTTTTTTGGAGCAGCTGCAATTGTTGTGGTGTCTGGCAGGTACACTTCAACAACCTATTTTCTTCCATGTGGCCCCCAAGATCCATTGCATCAGTGCCACAGAGCACACTTAAGAAATTAGTCAGAGCTCACGAATGTCGAGATGGGAGATAGGAACACTGTTGGCATATTCTTGCCATCATCGTTGTCTTCGTGTTCTCTACATGTATATGTATTCATATATTATAATAAAAGTCAGTAAGAAAAATAAAATAAAAAATTTTAAAGTACTAGAGATGCCAACCAAGGACCCCTTGCTCTGCAGTGTGACAAGTTAGGCAGCTCTACTATACACCCTGCATCTGCTGGCATAGTGACGGAAAGCTACTATTTATGCCGGCATTATTATATGGCGAGAACCACAGTAGATAGGAAGACAACCCCTTGCAAAATGTCGCTAGTGTCACAGCCAGCTGGACTGTCGCCCCCTGAAGCGGAGATCGATTGGGTCTTGAAATGTAGGGCCAGTTATCACTAAAAACTTGAGACTAAACATTGCTGAAGAGTCTGTTTATTCATTTATTTTACCCAGCCAGACAGATTTTTGTGTTTTCCTTCTAATGACTAAACATGTACCAAGTTTTTCCTTAGCTGAAAAAAACATCTTAAAAAAAGGACGAAGTGAATATGTCATGAATGGTTGAAAACTTCGAAATCATTTTTTTAATATTCAATTACCCTTGTATAATGACAACTATGTGCCTCTCTATTACTGCAAATGATGACAACGTTTAACTAGTCAGCTAACAGGGAAAATGCACCCATTACATTCAGAACCTAAAACCCATCATAAATATTTAGCACATTGCTATCATGCTAATCGTAAACAGCACGTTTATTGCTTGCACAGGGCAGTATACGGCACCCTAATACACTTGTTATCTACCTTGTTCATTTATAACACCTTTAATATATGCTTTCCTATTTATAGCGTAAGATAACACTGTAGAGAAAGCATTCAAGACACATGGAGTGATGTGCCCCTTGTGCGTTCTTCTTTGCAGTGTTGTCTCACGCTGTAAATACGGGAGCTAGAAACTACCCCACATATTGCTTTGTGGCAATTATTTCTCTTGTTTCTAGGGGGCGTGAGTGGAAGCATTGCACACTTTTTAAAATTCAGGTGTATGTTTTCCCAACTCAGTCTTGAAAGCATAAAATAAAAAAATCATTTTCGAATTTGTACTGGATTATGAGAATTTGGTAGTCAGTGCCTTGTGTCCACCTGATCGCAGCTGCTCAAAGAGAAGCACGTCATGATCCGTGTGGGTGGCGGCTGGGACACCCTGGAGCACTTCCTGTCCCGGCACGACACCTGCAACGTCATCCTGCTGAACCGGCGATCCTCCAGTGCCTCGGAGGATGGCTCGCACTCGCCCTCCTCAGGATCTACCTGCTCTCTCCTCAGCGGCACGCCGTCGCCTCTGGGCTCGAGCTCGGGAAATTCGACGCCCGCCGGTATGGGCCTCTCGCGTCCCAGGTACCGGAGCCCAGCGTCCAGCGTGTCTCTCAGTGCCATCAGTTCGCTGTCCAAGCAAGTGGGGTAGTTGTGAGCGGGGAATCTCCTTGCATTCATTGGCCATAAGGATTGCACAGTAACACTGTATGAGAACAGCTTTCTTCGGTGGCTTTAGATGGATGGGCGAGGCAGCAAACATCCAGCTATATTTTGATGCCACGAGATCTGGCTAAAGAGGAAATGCCTGTTAGTACATGTGAATGACTTCGTTCGGTCAAACTAGATTGGTGTTTGCTGCGGAGAGGGTTCTTAACCTGGCTCAGTGTCCAATTGCTGCAAGGGACATGCCACCATTTTATATTCATCCTCATTTGTCCAGCTGTTGGCGTGGAATGTACCCACAAGTGCATTTGATGATGTCATTCATTTGATTCATAGATATGTAGCTTTTTCAGTCATCTCAGCAACAGGCTTTTGCGACTGTTGTTCATTCAAAGCCAATTTTTTTTATAATTTGACCACCTCATTTTCTGTCATTAAGAAGTCATCACCAATTCTCTTTTTTAACATTTGTCATTATTTTTTTATATTCTCTGGCATTTTATGTCCCAAAACCACGATATCAGGAGCAGCATTGTAGAGGAGGGCTCAGCAAATTTTGACCACCTATGATTTTATAACGTGCACCTAAAGGTATGCACAGAAGTACAGCTTTGTCAATGTGACAACTTTACTGCAATCTTTGCAAGCTACAATTAAAATGATGGACATTACTGTTGGCAGTCTCATATTTTCCAAATCTGTTTAGCAAGAACCTGCAGGGTTGAGAAATATCCACAAAAGTGAATATGCTGTCATCCATGCATTTGGAGCAGTTAGCTGCAAAGAAAATCTGTATACAGTTTTCAGAATGAAATTGCTTGCTATGCAACCACATTTGTGCCTGTTCATTTTTATGTGTAATAATAGCTTTTCATTTGAAATGATCAGAATAATTTGCATCAATTAAAAAAGTAGCACTTCAAAGCTTTTGCTAGAGAGTGGAAACTGACTGATAGAGTTCTTATTTCAGACTCTGCTTAGGCCATCTCATTTGCCATCAAATAATTTAAGCTAAAAGGGATACAGGAGATAGTAAATCATGCGAGCACTTACATATGCACACACTTCACAATTTCCATTCTGTTTTTGAAATTCTGAATTATTTAAGACTTTCAATTTTTTTCTATCAAGTGCTTCTGTAGTCTTAATCATTGTGAATTACCTTAAAAACCCTCAGACAAATTTTGCATTAAGTAGGTGATGCACAAATACATTCCTTTAGTAGCATTAAGTATTATAAGAACACCTAAATAGAATACACACTTGTTAGAAAGCAACTTTTTGAAGTTATCAGGATAACTTTCAGGCTTCAAATATTAGTTTAAGGTTATTATATTTGAAATCTGTGTATCTCCCTAACTACATATGATACTTGATGTTCCAGTTGTGATTGTATTTTGGGCATTCTTGTGCATTGTATTAAATGCCTTTGACGTAACTTACGTAGCACAGGACAAAAGATGTGTGTGCCTTTTGTGTGTTGCTGTACTCACGTTTAAGGCATTTATTGAAAGGATAAAGTTCAAGATACAGACTGTGGATGTTCATGTACTATAAACAAGATGTGACTATTAAAATTGGTTACTTGGTTATCTTTGAAATTTTGCCTTTTACTAGGTGTAATGCTAGAAAAGAAAAGCACTTTTGAAAATATTCAGCTGGGCACTCTGTTCTCATGCTGTATGCTAGGTCCATCCAGCAATCTTTTGAAGAAAGCTGTTCCCACGCTTTGCCCACTGGCCTGAAAATTTCAGAAGGGAGAACTCGGGTGCTCTTAACGAAATGTGCAACGGACCAGCTGTCCATGGTTGTACTTGCAGTGATTTAGAAATATTGAATTTGTAAAGTGTTTCATAACTCTTTTTTTTGCATGACATCCTGTCTCTTTCGAGCTGTCTCATTTTCTTGAGTCTTCAGTGCACCATGACCCTCAGCTGTTGATGGATGTCAGAACGACTTATTGCACTCATTCAATGTGTGTACAACTTGCTGTCTGAAGACGTCGGTACCTTCTGTTCTATTCAACAACTTTTGCTGTAATTTCCCTTCTTACATTTTTGTAAAGTTTAGTTTTATCCCTTCTCTCATTTTGCTTAATGCACAAAAGCTTTTGCACTATGTTTTAGCAGAATCTTACTATGTATCACCGTCAAAAGGTAGCAAATCACGATAACCTTTTGAGGCGTAACATACTCTCACCATTTTTTCAAACGGCATATTGACGTTCGAATCTAAACTTGAAAGGACGATTTGTGCGCATTTCATTTCATTAACACTGATTACCTAGTACTTTCAAGTCACAGACCCTGTGTGAGTATCAGCGTCAAGGTACGAAATTTACGTAGCATAGCTTACATTACTTAGGACTAGAGAAGTATATTGCAGAATTAAAACATTTTTTTTCTGCTTACCATTGCACGTTACTTTCTGTTCAGAATAGCCATAAGGTATCTCCTCTGTCCTGTTGGTTTATCTTTTTTTTTAATCCCATCACTGTTGTCTACAGGTTATTTTTGCAACCTGCTTCTTTCTCCACCATTGCTACACCTAAATCATTTAGTAGTCGGTAATCATTATTTCATTATTTGGATTCACACTTTTGAGAGCTCTTCATTATGCTCCACAGCAACGAGACTTCTGCATTTTTTTCTTTGATTATTGCTCTAAGCATATGGCACGGCACAATTTCAGCACTTGTGAGAACTGAGCACTGCAAGTATTTTGAGCTTTTGTTTTATGACTGCAAACGAGAGTGCTTTGCTTGTTGTGTGAAAAAAAGTGCTGCCCAACTTAAAAACTGCATCACAGAAGCTTGTCACTTTATCTGCAATTGCTTAATATCTCTGTTCACTGCCATGACAGCGCATTTTTATTGCATGCCCAAAGAGAAACTTTTATTTATGTGCCTATACTTGTAAAGACAGCATGAAAGTAGCTATGCTTGCTGCCTTACCTAGATGTGGCAGCTTAATGAACTGTGTGAGATAGTATTCTTTAAAGACTTTTCCTCACTAATGAGTAGCAATTGAGAAGTGATCCCATTGTCATTAGCATAACGTAGCTGTTTGATCTGTTTTCGTGTGAAATCTGTGAAGATCTAATGAAATCTCTGTGCTGTTTTGGCTGTAAAACTTAGGCATCGAGGAAACATGCGCATTTCTAGTAGTTGCTTGTTGTATTAAAGAATGATTTTATGTATATATGAAGTGTTGATGTAGCTATTAGATTACTATTTTGGTATGCTTGATCCAGATCGTTTTAGGAGCTGTTCTATTTCAAGTGGACATTCTGTCACTGATCTGCCTCTCTTTAGCCGCACTTTTGCTTCTTGTTGATGTGTAGAGCTTTTTTTTCCTTTCGATACTTTTAGGATGATAGTTGTGTGTGGCATGAACCATTTTGAGTCTGCAGTGGTTGTTGGTTACTTGTAAGTTTTCCAGCTTGTTCAGGGAGTTTTATTGAGATCTTAACAAATCGCTTAAAGTGTTCATTCTTTCAGCATAGTGTTTTTTTCTTTTGCCTGACGGCCCTGTCATCGTGGTAAACAACATGCAGTAATATATGTTATTGTTTTTATTTACTGGCTAGACATACTTTTATTTGGACACTTTCTGGTCTGTAATTTACTTCAGTACCTGTGGTCTTGTACAACGGTTCAAGATTTTTTACTCGGACCAGAATTAGACTTTTGAAATGTGGAATAAGCAGGGTGTGTTGCCCTGATATGGCAAGCTTGGATGGTTGGCTCTAATTATGTGCTATAAAATCTTCAAATAGTGAATTGCAAAGCAGTTCTAACTATAAACTATTGCTTCTTTGTTTCTACAAATTACAATTCTGAACGACGAAGTTTTGATAAATTTAAGCCTGTTTTCTTGCCTTTTTTTAGAAAAAAAGTGAAACCAATGTCTATGTTGTATTTTTTTTGTTTGCAGTAAAGTCTGTGAAGATATTTTATTCTGCCTCATTTTGCTTACTGACGTTTTTTTTAAGGTAATCATAGAGTTCTTTTCTATTATGCACTCATGCTACATTAATAAACATACTTGCGTGAATTGTGCCAGTAATGCCATTTATGTGCTCGCAGCTCTCTAAGAATTCTTACTGCCCTAATTGATATGACCAGTGTTAATGCTTTGTTATGACGCAGCCTTTTTATAAAAATTAGAATCAATTAGTTCTACATATGAAGCTGGAACCACATAGCCTTGTTTGAAAAAAAGATGTTATTTTTCGTTTTTAAGAGCCCTCAGGTTTATTTTCACTTTCTCTAATAGAAGATAATGGAGGAGTGTGGTGATGGTTACTATGAGTTTTTTTTTTAAATTCACAATTGAATGGTTCTTTGAGCAAATTGCTGGGCGTACTTTGAAGCTGATCGTTTGAGTAACTTCTGTTCTTCTTTCCTAGCTCCCTCTTGCTGAAATTTTGAGGGGAGTGGTTTTTTACAGAACTAAAAAGAATAAGAAGTACGTGTTTTTCGATAATAGTCAAGGCCTTCAACAAGTGTCCCCCTTCCCTAAGAAAAATTGCTGGCTATGTGCCTGACTCGCGGTGACCCCGACACGGTGTAACTTGACTTGATGGCATCCAAACTGGCAGTCTGCATTAACAATGTGGAGTTAGAGCTCCACAGTAGATGCTCAATAAACGAAACCTAGAAGGAGGAGGAAAATTACAGGATGCAGCAAGCAAGTACGAAACCAATCTTGCCAGAAGCATTTGTTCAATTTAAGCAGCAGTTCTGTTTAACATATTTCCGTTTACGGGGAGTTCTCTGTAGTTGGGATAGATTAGCTTGCATATATTGGTGAGGTTCAGTTACTACTACTACACATGCTTTTTGTTTTCGTTGACACGTCATACTAAGGGGCGTTTTCAAATAAATGGTGGTTGTTAGCAATGACCTGGATCAGTCCTGTGTTTTCAAGTATCAGAATGGAAAAATGCAGAATACTTGTTCTGAATGTAAGTGGCACAGAATGAAAATGCTGCATTTGATACAATAGAACCTCAGTACTCTTAATGAATGATAGTCAATATGTATAATCTTTTCGCCATGCTGATCACAAATGCCCAGTGCTGTGATGGCCAGCACTCGGTAGGCTTAGTTTCGTACAATTCTGGAGTGCCGAGTTTGCTAAATGCTGGCGAACCACAGCAGGATAGAAAATGCAATGCTGGAGGCATGCTTGCAGATGTGTTTTACAACAGTAGTGAAAGTTGCGCTTGTTAGTACGGCAGGGTACAGCGCAAAAATGACTTAAGACGGAGAGAACAGAAGGGACACGAATGAGCTCTGCCATGAACATTGCCGTTGGTGTCCCTTTTGTTTGTTGATTGTTCTCATGTTGTTCCCAAGTATGCTTTTATAGCAGGCATGCGCAGCATCTCTAATGAATAGATATACAACTTACAAGCAATTGTGCGAGTTAGGAACCTCAACGTACACAGACCTTTCCTAATTAACACTGGTGTACAATCAAAACAAATAATAAATAATGAAATTCATTTAAGTTAAATATAAGGCCTGACAATTAGAATGGTGAGCTCAGCCCTTGCCAGAATATTTGTTCAGTGCTATGAATCGTGTTAATATATGGAACTATGCAATGGTACTCCAACTTGAAATTCAGTGTATTTTCTAATGACTATGTTCTATAATCAGAATTTTTCTAAAGTCATGCATTTATTACAGAAGTTACATACGTGTTGGTTGTAACTTGAGAGAACAATGCATTTGCTTGCAGAGGGAGCCATGTCATGGTAACTATTATGCATTTAAATCTCTATGCTCCCAGGAGTCTCGTAGAGCTATTTACCCAACTCTACAACAATGACAAACACAACTATGTCTAATGATGGCTACGACCTGTATGTGAAACACTAAAACAATATTTACTGTTACAAACCATTATTACGAACCATATATGTGCAGATTTCCACAAGAGTCAAAAAGTTGCAAGAGTGCCACACTTTTTGGGCAGCCTTTGAAAGAGTCGGTCTCTATATGAAAATATTCCCCGTTCCCTCTGCCATCAAACATGACCTATACCTTTCTGAATTGCCAGCAAATATTTTTCTAAATACGTGAAGGCCATAACTTTTTGCACCTAAGCATATCGTTACAACTTGGGGAGCTTCTGAATTTGCAGCGCATGCTAAAAATATTGACCAATTCAGAAAGCTGTAAGAAGCCAGAACAAAAAAGTAGGAAAAGTTTTACAATAATCCACACATCAGTGTGCTATGCAGGCTGAATCTTTAAACTCTTTAAATTCCAGCAGTAGTGCTTTCACTGGAACTTTTTCAAGGAAGAGTGCTGTGTTGTACAAAAGCATTTATATCATTTTAAATAATCACACCTCTGTTCAGGTCATTGTCTAGATTGAGTTAGAACCTTACTGCACTGGCCATTGTATTCCATTCTTCAGGGTAGAAAAAAAATGTATTTGTCACCTGGCAACCACATTTTAACAGTGCGTGCAAAAAGTGCTTGGATGCATTGCTTAAGGTATGCGTTTTGGAATTGGGTAGGTTGCCAAAGTTAGCATCAAATCGATCGGGTATAACTTACAACTGAAGGATTAAAATGCAACCATCAGTAAATTAAAATGAAACTCCTCTAGAGACTTTATTTTTCTTGAAGTTGTACTTTTAATTTAATGCTAATTAGGTGAATGTAGAAACCTTGTTTACATAGTGTCAAAAGTGTTTGTATTTTAATCTCCTCACTAATGCAGCATTCTCTGAAGAAATAGTGGTACAGTACTGTATTTTAAGCTTCCAGATATTCTTTTACAGAAGTTTTGTACATTTATATGAGTGTTTAGGTTGTGTGCAAAAATCTAAGCTCTGAGCTTATGATGACAAATCGCTGTGTGTGTGGCTGTAGGTATGGTCAAATAAATACAGCAAACGCTGCATGGTCTATACTACTGTGCACTACATGCAGTATTTACCTACAAAATGTCTACAGTATACACTGCAAATTTTTTTTATGTATTGAGCCTAATATAATCTTTTGCATATCAATGCATAGTTCTGCCTGTTATGCATGAAATTCCTGATTGATAGCATCGATTCAAGAAACAATCAGGAGCACAGTGAATTCATGTTCACAATCTCAGGCCTAAATTTTGTGCCTTGTGGTCATACTTGTTCTCTACGTATGAAGCGATCAGTTCAAATTCTTTAGTATTTTCTCAGTCTAGTAGTGCATATGGAACATGCACGATTATGTAACGAAAGAGATTCCAAAAAGCTTCGACTATGTGGATAGTGCTTTGAGAACAGTTTCTGGAACTTGACGTCTTTTTAATCCATCGGTACCTAATAGCCCCCTGACATTCTACATTTTATGGGATTTTGATATGGTATTCAAGGAACTACTGTATTGTGATCTTCAATGCAGTACTTCAAAAAAGTGTGCTGTCAACCGAACCACTAGCACGTAATCAAATGCACTTTGATTGATAGATATGTGGGGTTTAAGGTCCCAAAAGCACCATATTATTATGAGAGATGCCCTAGTGAAGGGCTCGGGAAATAGCAACCACCTGGGGTTTTTAAACCTGCACCCAAATCTGAGCACACAGGCCTACAGCATTTTTGCCTCCATCGAAAATGCCGCCACCCCAGCCGGGATTAGATCCCGGGACCTGTAGGTCAGCAGCCGAGAAGCTTAGCATCTTGACCACCGCGGCGAGGCAAATGCATTTTGCAGCTATCGTTTAAACAATCATTGAATATTCTTCCAAAAGCGGTTTGAGCACTTCTGGCATAATTGGACAGGCTTTATTTGGCTTCATTTTAATGCAGCAGTGAACAGCAGGTATAAGTTTATTGAGAACAGAGTTTATTGAAAATCTCTCTGGTGCAGTACTTCCACATAAAACCATCATTTAATCAGCACAACATCAATGGTCAAGGTGCACATGGGCATAACAATGCTACGTGATAGTGCCATCGTGATAAAACACAGGAAGAGGAGGATGACAGAAGATAGACTAGCGCGAGGTGATCATATCGACAGAGCTGCTCATCTCACCTCTGAAAAATACTGGGGTGTCTTTCACTGGTTAGGCGAACAGCAATGATAAGAATTCCATTGTCGTACTAGCCTAGAAACATGCAAATATTTTATAAATAGTTCCAAATATTTTTAATAAATGCACCTTTTATTGCTAACCAGAAGCACAAGTTTTTTTCTCAAAACTCTAAAATTATGTTAGCTGTGTTCACCTTTGACAGCTATTACATTGAAGAGTCCATTCTTTGCGTTCTCTTGCATCTTTTCAACAGCCACTAAAAAATATATTTTCTGGCACAAAGAAACATACTTCCCAAGGCTGTGAGCGGTTGTGAGTTGACAAAAATGTTTATTTTTAGTTTGCACAACATGCAAAATTCTTCTTTTTTTCTTGAGTTCAGTTCCTAAGTTCATTTTCGATACGTTGCTGTGCCATCCTTAACTTCAACCCGTTTTCAATGCTTGCCATCCTTCTCCACAAAAAGTTTATTATTTTCTGTGTTTTTTTATATCATCTAGATGCGCTATGGACCTTGTTTACAAAAGCATAATGGATGGCTTTAAAATGCGTAACCTTTCCAGTTAATTTTCTGAAAATTTGTTTCGTGATTTCTATGCTTATGAAGCTTCTGCTTACGTTAGTTTTCTGTAGAGCCTCTGCAAATCTGTGGCATTCTAAAATTATAAATTTGAAACAACATATTCGTTTCTTGTGTTCCTTGAGACCAGACTAATGCACCAACATGCACACTTATTTTGAACAGGATGTCTGAGTGGCTAAATGCATCTATTTTTGTGTGTGAAACTGCTACCTTGTTTAGTTTTGGGCATGTTGTGATGTCTATGATTGCAGGTCATTCATGAAGTGTAGCTTTTTACAGGCTTTTCTTTAACCACTCTTTCTTAATACCACTGTTGGCACCCATTGTTCAAGTGCTTCCACCTAAGAAGTTGTGATGCCAAATTGATCATCTCATTGCATTTTGGCATATAACCATGGCTGACAAACAAACACGCGGAGTACCTAAGGAAGTCGACCGCGTGAAATGTCTAATTTTCGGCGTGAACGAGGCTCAGCTGCTTGGTGCCTGCGACCACCAAAATATTTACGAGCTGTACGTGCCACTTGGCGAATGTCTTAATCTTTCTGCTCGGCTGCCTGTGTAGCCGACTGAATGCTAATTGCCGCTTTGCCATTGAAGCGTATTTTCAGCTTTCGAATTGCTTCAGACCACTGCTTTATGCTGCTACTGCCCCAATTGCAAAATGCATGACACTTGTGTCTATCTCATGCAGTTTGCGAAGAGTTTCTGCAAATGGTGCAGATTGAAGGAGTTATGCTTGCTTCTTGTTTGTAAGCGCAAATGCTTTGTCTATAAGAGTGTGTGTTGTTTGTTTCTCAGATTTTAAATAAATGGAAACTATAATAAACAAGGCATCCTGTTTCTCTGCTACTCTAGTGCTATTATTTGTGGCATTCTTTCTGCGTTTTCTTTTTCTCATGGTAATAGACAGAAATTCTGATACAAGCCTTGATATTCAAACCTCACCATGCTATAGGATACAAGCCTGGAGGCTCGCAAGAAAGGTTTCATGCAAATGGAGGACAATGCAGCAAGTTGTAGAAAAAAAAAACCGTAGGTGTGACCTTAAGCAACAAAGGGTCTAGGGAGCGAGTGGTTATTTAGAACATAGTTGATATCAAGAAGAAAAAATTGCTATGCATAGGCCGTATAGTGCCAATGCATAATTACCAAGATATGTTCCAAGAGAAGCCAACATACGTGAAATGGAATCGCAGATTAGGCTAACAAGTTTGCGGGAATAATGTGACTGCACCAAGCTCGAGACTTGGTGAATTGGTGAAACATGGCCGTGGCCTTTGCCCTGATGTCGGTTTAGTCAGACTGATGATGTGGCAGGACACGTAGGGAATGTGACATACAATACATGACACGCAGGTCACGAATCTGAAGTATTAGTGGCGCTCTTGTATGTTCACTGGAACGAGCGAAACACACTTGGGAGTGCGAATAAGAAGTCTCAAAATGGAATTTATTACTTCGAAAACAGATCTTGCAGGAAACGTTAGAAATTTTACTTGGAACAGAACTTGAAGTGCTGTGCTATTTCCGCCATTATGTGCTAATCTCACGTGCTGCGCCTAAACGCCAATTTGCGTGTGCAACTCCAAATTTAGTCGAGTTTTATCATCGACTGAGCAAACATGCGTGGGCTACACAAATGACGCAACCGCGTCTATATCAAAATAGTTCGCCACGTCGTATTTCGGTGAATCTTGTTAAGGTGGCGTTTGTGTGCATACCTCATCATGTGACTGTTTTAATAGCTAAGCTCTTAGCCGAACTATATAAACTGAAAAAATAAAAATCAGTTTCACCGCGAAGCGCGATGGCTTCAAAGGCAAGAATTCGTAATGTTGTGATGGTAATGTCGCACGCGCTTTTAGGGGCAAAGCTCCTTAGGGCGTGGGCTGTGCGTCCCCTGTAGCCTGTATGTAGCCACCTCTAGTTTAGTTCTTGCAGTGTTCACTAGATGGCGGTACCGTCCCCTGTATGTAGCCACCTCTAGTTTAGTTCTTGCAGTGTTCACTAGATGGCGGTACCGTCTCCTGTATGTAGCGTGACAAGTCACCCCCGGAAAAGAAGACACAAACCCAAAAGTTGGTGGGATGAGGAAGTTAGGAAAGCCATAGCAAAACGTCAGGAAGCCTCTAGGGAACACAGACATGCTAAGCAGCGGGGTGAACCTACAGATGATGTGGAAAGAAAATGGGCAACCTTTCTAAGCTGTAGAAGGGATGCATCCCTTCTGATCAATGAAAAGATTAGAAGGAAGGGAGCTCAGTGGCTGGCAGAAGTACATAAAAAAGATAGAAAGGCAGCTGCGAAATTTTGAAACCATCTAAACTCCCTAAGAAATGAGACGAGCCTAGAGCAGAACTTTATAACTACAGCCCAAGGTGCTAGGCTAGAAGGGGACGAAGCTATTGAATATATAAGAACAAGGGTGACAGAAAAATTTCAACAAAGAAGTACTTTATGCACCACAATAGACAAAGACGAATCAAGTGGTGCAATGGCTCCATTTTCACAACAAGAGTGGGAAAGGGCTGAGAAGAGGGTTCCTAGTAGTACATCAACAGGCCCAGATGGCATTCCAATTAGGCTGATAAAAACATTAGGTCCGAAGTCTAAGCAGGCTTTGAGGGAGGCAGTGAGTACAATAATAATCGATGGTGAAGTTCCCGATGGATGGAAACTTAACAGGATGAGCATGATTTATAAAGGAAAGGGGGACAAAGCTGACATAAACAACTACCGTCCTATAACAGTGACATCAGTGGTCTACAGGCTGGCGATGCAGATTATAAAGGAAAGACTGCAGGCGTGGATAGAGGATGAGGGGGTGCTGGGGGAACTGCAGAATGGGTTTCGGAAACACAGGAGGTTGGAAGACAATCTGTTCTCACTGACGCAGTGCATCGAAATAGCAGAAAAAGAACACAGGCCCCTGTGGCTAGCATTTTTGGATATCAAGGGAGCGTACGATAGCGTGGTTCAAGAGGAATTGTGGGGAATACTGGACACACTAGGCGTGGAACATGTAGTCACTAATATTTTAAAGGGTGTCTATAAAGGTAACAAGGTAGTTATAAAGTGGGAAAAACAGGTATCCAAGCCTGCAGAGGTAAAACGGGGGCTTAGGCAGGGGTGCCCCCTGTCACCCTTATTATTCGTGATGTACCTACAAGGATTAGAGGCAAAATTAGAGGGAAGTGGACTGGGCTTCAACCTCTCTTTAGTCAAACAAGGAAAACTTATTGATCAGGCACTACCAGCATTAATGTACGCAGATGATATAGTGCCAATGGCCAACAACAAGGAAGATTTGCAGAGATTGATGGACATCTGCGGTAATGAGGGAGATAGGTTAGATTTTAGATTCAGTAGGGAAAAATCAGCAGTCATGATTTTCAATGACAACGAAGGTAGTGAGCTTAGAATACAGGAGGTGACGCTAGAGATAACAGATAAATACAAATATCTGGGCGTATGGATAAGCAATGGGACCGAGTATCTGAGGGAACACGAAATATACGTGACGACTAAAGGTAACAGGAATGCAGCAGTCATGAAAAATAGGGCACTGTGGAATTACAATAGGTATGATGTTGTGAGAGGAATATGGAAAGGGGTCATGGTTCCTGAGCTGACGTTCAGCAATGCGGTCTTGTGCATGAGATCAGAAGTTCAAGCAAGATTAGAAATTAAGCAACGTGGAATAGGTAGGCTTGCTTTAGGAGCTCAAGGGAATACACCAAATCAGGGAGTACAAGGTGATATGGGATGGACATCATTTGAGGGCAGGGAAGCTAGCAGCAAGATAAAATTTGAGAAGCGATTGAGAGAAATGGGGGAAGAGCGTTGGGCTAGGAAGGTTTTCAGCTACTTGTACATGAAGAATGTCGATACAAAATGGAGGAAGCGAACCAGGAAGTTGACTGGTAAATACTTAGAAAACAGCAGGTGGCCAAACCAAAAAGAACTATCGGTTAAGGAAAAAAAAAGTGAAGGAAACGGAGACTGACATGTGGAGAATGGGCATGATTAAGAAGTCCACACTAGAGATCTATCGAACTTTTAAGCAGGAAATTGCCAAGGAAAGGATCTATGATAATACTCGGGGTAGTTCTCTACTGTTTGAGGCCAGGACGGGAGTACTGCGAACCAAGACATATCGGGCCAAATACGAAGGGGTCGACACAGTATGCAGTGCGTGTGGAGAGGAAGAAGAAACTGCCGAACACTTGATAATGTTCTGTAAAGGGCTTCACCCTATAGTTCAGTATGATGGCGCAGAGTTTTTCAAAGCACTGGGATTTAGGGACAGCGAGGGCAAAATAGACTTTAAGCGGGTAGACTTAACTAGAAGGAGGTTATCTGATTGGTGGCTAAAGTCAAGGCACGAGTGAAAATTAAACCCTTCACTGCGAAGTACGAATCCTCAACTTCATTATTTAAAGGAAAAAAAGGTAAATGTAATGGTTAGTTCATTAAGTATTACGGCTTGGTGGCGCTAGCCACCGCCCAATCTAAAGGGTACAGCCATATCCATCCATCCATCCATGTAGCCACCTCTCGTTTAGTTCTTGTAGTGTTTACTAGATGGTGGTACTTGTAGCTGATGATGAAAAGGTGCAAGATGTTATAAACTAGAAAGCGGTACTTGTAGTTGATGAAAGACGCGAGATCTTATAAAATAGGAATGATGTCACATATGGCGCGTGTCATTGGTTGAAGGCAATCGTTCGATTTAGTGCGGCGACGTACGCTAGGGGGAGCGATGTAATAAAATCGAGTGGGCAAAATGTACAGAGGATTCATGGTTTACCAGGTTTACCTCCGGAGCTTCGCCCACTAATCATCATTCACTTCGTGGATATGGCGGAATTTTTTTCTTTCCATTTTTGCTACCACGCCATTACGCGTGTAATGCTGCCTCGCGCAAACTGTGCCCGAATGACTAGGAACAATCTAGATAATCTTAGAACCTTCCGATAAGATTACGCGCACAACGCATACATTCGAGTTTGTTTTGGGGCTTACGCAACTGCTAGCGATAACGCTGAAACTTTCGATGGTACATGTATAAATGGCGACGCACTTTGCTGCTTGGCAGATTATTGACGGATGGTGCTCTGGTTTGCGGTAGTCAGCCTACTGCGTGTATTGCTTGTAGCAACATAGATAATCTTAGGACCTTCCGATTAGATTACGCGCACAACGCGAATATTAGAGTTTCTTCTGGGGTTTACGCAGCTGCTAGCGATAACACTGGAATCTTCGATGGCACATGTATAGAGGTCGAATCACTTTGCTTTTTGGCAGATTATCGACGGCTGATGCTCTAGTTTGCTGCTATCAGTCTACAGCGTCCATTGCTTTTAGCAACCTAGATAATCTTAGAACCTTTAGATGAGGTTACGTGCACAACGCGAATATTAGAGCTTGTTCTGGGGCTTACGCATCTGCTAGCAATAACGCTGGAATCTTCGATGGCACAAGTATAAATGCCGAAGCACTTTGCTACTTAGCAGATTATCGACGGCCGACGCTCTAGTTTGCTGCTATCAGTCTACAGCGTGTATTGCTTGTAGAGTGACGTTCCGTTTTCCGGGCGATGTTCGCCCCAAATAAAGTTCCCTCATGCAAACAGCGGCTGCGGCGTTTGTCAACATCACGACCCCGTGACATTACGAAGGCTAAAAGTGAACTCTTTTGGATCCGACATCATGACACTCTACACAGCGCTGGTCTAAGAGAATAAGTACGGCCGCTACAGGGAGAAACGTTCTTATCGCACAATTTATTCTCGTTGCGAGCGCACCACATAGAACAATTTACTAG